AGAAGAATGAACTGGAGGGGAGGGGTGGGCAGGGAGAAAAGTGCAACAACGAATGAATGGAAATCCAAAATCTCTGTAAATTTTCATTAAAATTGGTAATAATAATAAAGAAAAAAGTATTGATCTCTAGAAGACAGAAAAAAATTCATATTATAAAGTATAAGATTGGGTTTAAGTAAAAGATTGGTTTTTTCTAAAATTAGTCTATCTATTCACATAGTGAACACACAGTAAAATGAACTGTGTTGGTTTGTGGTGTCATGGAATGGTTTTTATTCAAAGTTACTTTCCTCACCATTGGCCTTGACTTTGATTACATGACAGAGTGAGAACCTGAAAATAGCATATGTATAAAGTAATCTTTATTGTATTGGTCAGTTTCCCCTATTTCACCAAAGGGTTTTTGTAGTTATTTTCACCAAGTTTAAATCGAGCAGGTTTAGCAGAAAAGAAAAAAAAGGTGGGGGGAACCTCACCACCAGCAAAGAAGAAGAAGCAGAGAACACAGCATACATGCTTGAGGACAGAGATTCCTACACTAAGCAAACCAGGACCCACAGAAGAGCAGCAACAGCAGAAGCAGTGAAGGACCAGAGACCAACACAAGACAGAGCTGATTAGAGATTGCTACCCTATCAAGTAGGGAGCTCTGGTGGCCTAGTGGTAAGAATCTGCGCCACAATCCTGAAGGCTGATGGTTCAAATCCACCAGCTCCGTGGAAGAAGGATGGACAACTATTGAACTCCTGAGCGATTACTGCCTCTGAAAACCCACTGGAGGGTTAGCTATGGATCTGTTCCAACTCGACGGCATACCACAACAACTACCCTATCGGGCCAGAGCGAAAAGGCCTTTGTTCAAGCTTCCTTGAGGGCTGGGGTAAAATACCAAAATTGAAAGGACTAGGAGAGCTTTGTAACACTGGCCTAAGCTGTGAGGCTGAAGGGCCTGCAAGCAGACATGAACGCTGTCCTCACTGAGGAATTGTAACCTCTTGCCAACCTGGATTATAAACTGTTAATTTCCCTAAGACACCCTGTAACCATGGATATAGTTCTGTGAGATCTGTGTGGCCATTGCAACAGATTTCAGACCCAATACTAGAGCAGTATGATTGGTTCTGAAATTAGCAGTAGGTATGGGAGTCAGGGGGAGCTCTGGTGGCCCAGTGTCAAGAAGCTGTGCTGTAATCCAGAAGGCACATGGTTTGCGGCCACTAGCTGCTCCACAGGAGAAGCGGGTGGGGCAAACTCCTCCAGTGTGATTAACTGTCTCTGAAAACCTGCTGAAGGGTCAGCTACATGTTGGTTCTGACTCTACAGTATCCAACAACAACAACAGGAGTATGGAGGTCATGTGTGACATTATGAGAATTGGTTTTGTAGTGTTGCTATTGCTGATGGCAACTGTTCTTCTTTGTGAAGTGAGTAAAAGTCAGACTCAGGTGTCCCCATGCGCCCTGACTCTTTATACAGCTTTATGAATTCTAACATATGTATGGACATTCAAGACACAGAGATGGTCCATCAACCTCTCAAAAGCTCCCTCATGCTAACACTTAATCTCTCAAAACCTCTCACTTGTAGCAATCACTGATCTGTTCTTCATCACTATAGTTTTGTCTTTGGGGGGAATTCTGTAAGTGGAGTCATGCTATATGTAACATTTTAAGATACCTTTGAGATCCATCCAAATTGTTGCATGTATCAGTCATTGAGTCTTTTACTGCTTCATAGTCTTATGTCACATGAGGGAGTTCGGGTAGCATAGTGTGTAAGGCGCCCCCGAAGCTGACACCTCTCTGGAGGTTTGAATCCACTAGTGACTCTAAGGGAGAAACAAGGATCATTTCCTCCTGTGTGATTTACAACCTCCTGAAAACCTGCTGCAAAGTCAGTTATGTATCATTTTTTACTCAATAGGAATGAATTTGAGGTTTTTACTACATTGTATCCTTTTATTTGTTAAAGAACATCTAGGTTTTATTACAAATAGAATTGCTATAGAAGCATCTGAGTATTGTGATCATTTTTCTTTAATTTGAGGTATCCAGATGCCGTAAAAATTCACTTTCTTTAAAAGTATACAATTCAGTGACACACCACCACCACTACCTAATTTTAGAACACTTTCATCATCTCAGATAGAAACTTCAGTCAGCTGGATGGCACATTAACAACAACAGCAGTAAATTCCTATTCCTCTCTCTACTCAGACGCTGGCTACTACTAATCTATTTTTTAGATATATAAACGTGCCTGTTTTCCCACATTTTATAACAAAGGAACCAAATGATACATGGCCCTTTAGATCTTCTTAAAGTAGGCTTCTTTCACTTATTAGGTGCCACTGAGTTAATTTCTGGCTCAGAGTGATCTTATGCACAACAGAATGGAACACTGTCCAGTTCTGTGCCATCCTCCCAGCCTCTGCTGTGTCTCGGTCCATTGTTACAGACACTGTGTTCATTCACCGCGCTGAGGACTCCCTCTTTTATACTAGTCCTTTAGCTTACTGAACATGATATCCTTCTGCAGGAAGTTGGCCCCTCCAGATAACGTGTTCTAAGCATCTGAGACAGTCTCACCATCCTTCCTTCTAAGGAACAATCTGGCTATACTTCTTATAGGTTTTTCCCTTCAGTTTATTTATTTGTTCTTCTGGCAATTCTTCCTCCTTGCCAGCATCATAATTCAAAGGCATCAATTCTTCTTCAGTCTTCCTTAGTCACTGTCAAGTTCTTGCATGCATATGAAGCAATTACAAATACGGTGGTTTGTTTCAGGCCCACCTTAGCCCTCAAAGTGACATTTCTGCGTTTTTAACATTTTACAGAAGTTCTTTGCAGCAGACTTTCCCAACACAATATGTCACTTGATTTCTTGGCTGCTGTTTTCATTGGCATTAATGGTGGATCTAAGTAAAATGGTGGATCTTTGACACCTTCGATATTTTTTCTCTGTTTACTGTAATATCCAATGTGAAGATTTTTGTTTTATGATGAGGTGTAACCCATATGGAAGGATGATCTTTTAGCTGGTGTATTTAAACTGCCAGAGAGGTGGGGCCTTTGGGTTAGAATAACCCCCTAATAAATAGCCCAACAGAGGTCTTTTATTTCTTAGCCTTTGTAAGAAAATCTCCATTCCTGCTTTCTCATGTCAATGGTAGTTTCACTTGCCCAAGATGCTATGTTTATAGAATCCAAAGAGTCAGAGATGAGAAGCTCAGATAAAACTCTCTGACTCTTTGGGGGGTTTCTTGGGTTGATTGATGGTGTGGCAGTAGGTTCAGGAATTATACAGAAGGAGATAATTCTTTCATTTGCCTATTTACTGAGCATTTATTGTTGTGGTTATGTGCTATCAAGTCACTTGTGACTCAGAGACCCATGTACAAGATCCCTAAACCCTGCTCTATCTTGTGCCAACCTCACTGTCTCTGACACACCTACCTTTATTACCCCAGTCACTGAATCAATCCATCTCATCAAGGGTCTTCCTCTTTTGCTCTGTCCCTCCACCCTCCCAAGCATAATATCCTTTTCCAAGGACTGGTCCCTCCTTGCAACATGTCCAAAGTAAGTCAGACAAAGCTTCCTCCAAGGAGCAGCCTGGTTTCACCCTCTCTAGGTTGAACTTGTTTGTCCTCTTAGCAGTCCATGGTATATTCAACACTCTGCTCCAGCATCACAGCTCAAAGGCATCAACTCTCCTTCTGTCATACCTAGTCATTGTCCAGGTTTCTGAAGCATAGCAAGTTATTGCGATGGCCTGGATCAGGTGTACCTTAGTTTCCAGACTGACATCATTGCTCTTCAGTACTCTGGAGAGGTCCCTGACAGCAGACTTTCCCAATGCAATTCGTCTTTTCATTTCCTGCTAGCTAGTACCAAGAATAGTGATTGTGGAGCCAAGGAAACTAAAGCTGTTAACAATCTTTTCACCTTCTATCATGATGCTCCCAATCAGCACAGTGGTGAGAATCTCTGTTTTCTTGATGTTGAGCTTCAATATCTTTAATGGGAAATTCAGCACTAAGTTAGGCACCCATGCCTAAGAACTCAGTCTAGTAGACTTTACTACACAGTGCACTGTGTAATGTCCTATAGCAGAGATGGAAAAGGTCACTGGAATTTGCAATGGCAATTACTAACTCCACCTGGAGAACTGCACAGCTGTCATTTGGACTGGGTCTTAAATAGTGAAGAGACTTATCCCAGCAAAA